AAAAAAAAAAAAAAAAAAAAATATATATATATATATATATATATATGCGCACACAAACACAAACTCTACTTGATGCCATTTGAAGTCAAGAGAAATGCAAGCAAACGTAAAGACGTGCAGTAGTAAGTCATAGATGCATCAAATTACTGTAGATATACTGTACTCCTGTAATAATTTCATAGCCACCTCCTGTGCTGTCTTCGTGAGTTCAAGTGTTGAGTATCCGCTTAAAACACCACGTGAAGCTAATAGTCTCCTGGTGAGCAGCTCTCGCCAGTACATTGTGTATAGAAGTAAAAAAGTGATCTCTTGTAGTTCTTGCATATTTTTCACTGTGTTTAGTGCAATACTGCAAACTTTGAATGACCCCGTGGGCCCCTATGCGCCGCCACTAGTGATGACAGAGCTCCTTCCAAGAAGCAAAGAAAAGTCATGACATTACAAGAAAGAGTTGAACCGCTTGATATCTACCATAGATTGAAACCTGCAGCTGTAATTACTGCTGATTCAGACAGGAAATTTCTCTTATAAACAGACGACATAAACTTATGGTACTGATAAATACAGCACAGTGTTGTGAAGGCATTTCTCTTTCTAATGATGTTCTTCATAACATGTACTTTTCTTTAGCTTACTTTGTTGTAAGAATACAGCATGTAATACATATAACATACAAAATATGTCTTTTTTTTTTTTTCCAGAGACAAGGTCTTGGTCTGTCACACAGGCTGGAGTGCAGTGGTGCGATCATGGCTCATTGCAGCCTCGATCCTGGGCTCAAGCGATCCTCCCACTTCAGCCTCCTGAGTAGCTGGGACCACAGGCACATACCACCACACCCAGCTAGATTTCTTTTATTTTTATTATTTGTAGAGGTGGGGTTTCACTCTGCTGCCCAGGCTGGTCTTGAACTCCTGGATGCAAGCAGTTTTCCCCACCTCAGCCTCCCAAAGTACTGGGATTACTGTGCCTGGCCTCAAATATGTCTTACTCAATTGTTTATATACTGAGTAAAGCTTTCAGTCAACAGTAGACTATTAGTAGTTGAGTTTTGGGGGAGTCAAAGTCATGCACAGATTTTGCACTGCATAGGGTTTTGGCACCCCATCCCCACGTGGTTCAAGGGTCAACTGCATGGCCTTTGCCGATCACTGCAGGGTCTTGCCTTTGCCCTTCCCCGCTGAAGCATATTTTCCTGCCAGCCTCCGTTCCCAGCTCCAAGGCTGCCCCCTTGCGAGTTTCACGTGGCATAACAGTGTCATTATCCTGCCTCCTGCCCCCTCTCCTACTGGGACATCAAATATTCTCTCCTGGAAACTGATTTCAGAGTAGCGGCTCCTAAAGTGCATCACCAGAGTGGCAGTTCCCGTGGGTCAGAAACAGACCTCCTCCTCCTCCTTCCAACAAGTACACAGCCTTTGCCCGCGGCTCACTGAAGACAGGCAGGTGAGGACACGCAGAGGGGAGAGACAGGTGAGGAAGGGGCAAGCCACGTGTGCAGGGGCAAGCTTACCTCCCCCTGCCACCTTGTTCTGGCTCCATGCTCCTCTCCTGACCCGGGTGCAGCCCTCGGCAGGTGCAGCTCTCGGCTTGAGTGGCTCCAGGGAGGCCTCTGGTCCAGGCTGCCCTGCAGTTCCTCCGCAGCAGCCCCCCGCAGGGGCCAGGAGAAGCAGCCGGGCCCTCCTGCCCCATGCTCCTTCCCCCTAGCGGTGGCCACTACTTCTGGGACGTGCCCCCTTGCGTTCTTGGCGCACACCCTGTCTTCAGGCCAGGACCCCTTCCCAAGTAACCGGTCACCAGCGGGTTGAGCACCACACTCCAGGCGCCCGTGATCAGCCCCAGCTTCCTCCAGGGGCCTCCCATGTCGGGGTTCAGGAAGCTGGCCACGTTGGAGGCGTTGTAGGGTCCCACGCAGAGCAGCAGGGTGAGCAGCGCCCCTCCGGCCACCCACGCGGCCCTCAGCTTCCGCCTGTGTGTCAGGCCGGAGCGGGCCAGTGCCCGGAGGCAGCCCACATAGCAGAAGGCTGTGATGGCCAAGGGCAGGAAAAAGAGCAGGAGAGAGAGGCTGAGGCGGGCCGGGGCGGCGGAGGCCGGGTCCCAGGCCTCCAGGCACACGGGAGAGCCGTTGACCGGGGTGTTGATGCCCAGCGAGGTGTTGCTGCTGTCCAGCCAGCCTCCCGGAGCCTCCAACCCAAGGACCAGGCCCAGGTGGCACAGGACGAGGGCCCAGATGGCCGCGCACACCCCCCAGGAGTAGCACGGCCTCCGGAAAGCTTGGTAGCCCAGGGGGAAGGCGGCTCCCAGGTAGCGGCCGGCGCTCAGGGCGGCCAGGAAGCCGCCGCTGGCGTAGAGCGGAGCGAAGTGGGCCACCGCGAAGACCGGGCACAGCGCGGCCGGCAGAGGCCAGGCCCCTGAGGCCAGCGCCTCCACCGCCTTCAGGGGCAGGGAGACCGTCAGCAGAAGGTCGGAGCAGCCCAGGTGCAGGGCGTAGACCAGGCTGGGGGTGAGCCGGAGCCGGGCGTGGGCCGTGGCCCCTCGGATGGCCAGTAAGTTGAGCGGGAAGCCCAGCGCGAAGGCGGCCACGTAGAGGGCGAAAGACAGCTGCGGGGGCAGGTCCATGGGGCCGCCGTCCTGCCTACACGGCTCCTGTGCGCAGCAGGCTCCCTGTCCTCAGATCTTGAGGCCCCGGAAAGGAGGGGCTCCTGGGATCACTCGTGGTTCCGACCCTGCCTGGAGGATTAGAAATCGCCTGGTGGGATCACCGAGGAAACGGAGGCCCACAGAGGGAGGCGGCAGCCAGGGAGCAGCGGAGCCTAGATGAGAAGCTGGGACCTGTGGCCCCCAGTCCTGAGCTTCCTCTCCACCGTATCACCTCCTAAAATCAGAGGAGCACCTGCAGGGTCACAGGAGATAGGACATCGCGAGGGTCCCAGAGGAAGGGGGGCTTCTTGATTTCTGAGACTCTGTGGGGAGGAGGGGTGGACAGAATTCAGAAGAGGGCTGGGCCGGCAGCCTGAGTCTTCCCTGGGAATGGGAGTTTGATTCCTGAGCCCGCTGCCCTCTCTGCTTCCCTGGCAAGGCAGGAGCTGCTCCCCCACAGTGGAAAGCCGGCAGGACAGCAGGAAGGAGAAGGGTGTGGATGAGGTGGGGGTTGTGGCCAGGGGCAGGAAGAGGGGGTCCACCAGGGAAAGCCCAAGGGTCAGCTGGGCCGCTTCCATGTCACAATTGAGCTCAGCAGTCCTCAGGGGCCACGTGGGCAGGGGAACCTAGGGGTTTGGGGAATAGTCAGGTGAAGAAAGGAGTCACAGAAGGAGAAACCCACCTCCTGGCGCTGCCAGATGTCTCTGAGGCTCAGCAGTCCCCTCAGCCGGCTGTGGGAGGATGCCTGGGATGGGCAGTGAGCCGGAAGGGGAGGAGGGCAGGTGGCAGGGCCATTAGCCTGAGGTTCTAGCAGCTTGGGTGAGCAGCTAATGGGGCATCCCGGCTGGAGCTGAGACCGCACCAGAGGAGGTGAGGGGCTAGGAAGATGCAGGAACACAGAAGGGCCAGGGAGGAATCGGGGTCCTGTCTGGGTAGAAGCCGGGTGTGTGTGTAGCCAGTGCCTTGCAGGATCAGGGCCGGGGCTCGGCCACAACCCAGCGCTATTCCCTCCCCAGCCCTCCTGCCTGTTCACACCTGCACTGGGGCCAGGTCTCCCCACCCTCGATGCACCCCTGTGCAGGCCCCCAGCCTCACTGGCTTACCCCAGCAACACAGGGTGCCCGGTGACCGCATCCACCAAACCATCTCCATGTGGCAGTGGGTGTGTGGGATAAGGTGTGATCATGTTCAGGTGTGGCTCTGCGCAGGCTGTGGGCTTGTTTCAGTTTTTGTGAGGAGGGGGCCCCTGTGTTCTCCCTCCCCTTCCCCTCTAGCTCCATGGTGGTGGCTTCTGACCTTTCTGGGGCTGGCAGAAAGGGAGGGAGGAGGAAGGCAGGGGATGGGTGTAGCCTCCATTGGCCAGCACTGGAGGACCCAGGCTGTGGCCCCCACTCTGCCTGTCTGGGGTTGGCACAATGTCCAAGCCAACTCCCTCCAGGGCGTATGGATGGGGACATTGGGGGCACTCCCTGAGGCGCAGGAGATGTGGCCCTGGCTGGCTGCATAGCTTTCTTCTGTCAGCCCTGGGAATCCTCCCAGCCCTTCATGTTTCCCATTGGGGTCACCTGAGCCTCCCAGGAGGCCTAAGGAAGATTTCTAAGGGCTCCAGACTCTCCCTCAGGTGTGCCCAAGCCTGCCAGTGAGAAGCCAGCTTTGCTTCGTGAATCTGTCTCTGTCTCTCACTGTGCCCGTGTCTGTCTGTCTGTCTATTTCCTGCCTCAGAATGACAACACAGACTCTCCACATCGGTTTTCTCATGTGGGGGTCACCTGACCATTCTTCCCCGTCTGAGTTCCAGGTGCCCCATCATAAGCCTCTCTCCGTGTGGCCTCCGAGCAGCTCGTCACCAGGCTTCAGGGGGGCAGTACGGGGGCTCAGCCTATCACTAAGCCCCTCAAAGACGCCATCTCACTCCTTTTCATACCTCGGAGCCACTAAATTGGTCTATGCTCGCCTTTTTCTCGAGACCCGCACATGGGGTGCAGCACCCGCTGTGAGCAGAGAACTTGCCTCCTACTGTTCAGTGTGGTGTTGGGAACCGAAAAACTGACAGAACAGAGGAAGAATCGGAAGCAGTGCCGTTTCCCCTCCTATGGCAAGAGCAAAGCCCTGGGGAGCGGTTGGATTTTTCCGCCCACTGGCATCTGGCTCTTCACCCAAGGTCACCTCCTCCGAGGTCCTTCCTGGGTGCCTCAGCCACCCTGATCTCTCCTGTGAATCTCACTTTTGCTGTGTTTCTTCAGAGCACCCATGACTGTGACATCGTCTTGGCTGGCTCCTGGGCTAGAATGCCGGCCTCCTGAGGGCAGAGGTTTTTGTCTGCTTTGTCTGTTGCGTGTTGCACAGCAAGTGTGTGGGGAGGTAAATGCACGATCCATTGTATGGGTCCCAGGAGGACGGTGAGAGCTGGGGTTGTGGAGGGTGGCACGGGCCTGTGTCTGGAGTCCTGGCCCCCCCGCCCAGCTTCCTGGCCACCTGCTCTTCACGCCTCAGCAATGTCTATTGATGGCCACATCTCACGGTCAATCAGCCATGTAGTAGGTTTATGTCAGCAGCTGTGCTGAGGGACAGGGTGGGAAGGGGAAGACACTTGGTGGTTGCCAGGGAGCCCTTCAGGCTTAGGACTGCCTTGACTCCATCCAGGGGATCCTGTGCTAAAAACCTTTGGATTCCCTAGATTTAGAGATCCCCAAGGTTGGTCCTCTGCCTTATATTTTTGGTGTCCTAACAACTGGATCTGTACTGGTTGCATTTCCAGGTGCTCAGTAACTGTGTGCTGAATAAATGAAGGAAGGGATGAATGACACCGAACCTCATTCTGGCCACAGACATCCCAACGCCCTCTCTGTCTCATGTAAATAGTTCTTAAAGTCTCATCTTCCTCCAGAAAAGTTAACGATGCTCACCAGAAATCAAACCAGGGACAAAGTGGATTGATGGTGAGATCAAGGCTTCCCTGCACTGTAATTCCTAGAGTCAGCATCCAGGTATTGAGCAGAGATGGGAAAGGAGGATGGGAAAGGAGGGTGGGAAAGGAAGTCAGCAGTTTGGGGACACCTGCCATGTGTCAGGAGCTAGTCCCCTTGATGATCGGATAATCACACCCCTGCTGTCTAAGGAAAATTGGCTTTGGCCCCTTCGCAGAAGCAGGTGGATGGGTGGAGAGAGATCAAATCTGAGAAGCGGAGAGGGAAGCAGGGGCACCTAACTGGAAAATCTGAATCAGTGAACAGAATTAGGGAACTGGTGCGGAGGACCGTGAACGGCAGAAAAGCTGTGAGCTTTCTCAGTGTCTTCAAGACTTTCTCTGGCAGCTATGGGTTGTGCAAGAGCTGGGTAGCATCACTTTCGAGAAGAGCTGTATTGAATTGGCTTCCTCTTTTCACATTCTTCGAGAAATGCAAATAAAGGATGGGGTTTGTTTCCTGGGGGACTTTTGGCTTCTGTGCTGGCTCCAGCCTATATGACAATGCCTCACTTCCTATCGGGGGCCACCTGCACGGTGGGCAGTGGCCTCTCCCTCTCCACTTTACAGATGGAGAAACCAAGGCTCAGGCAAGCTGGCAAGCCCTGCCAAGATCACCTGGCTAGTTAAGTCAAAAAATCAAGATTCAAGCTCTCATGCTTGTCTGCCTGCAAAGCCAGCATGCTTTTCCTAACAAGACGCCAGACTCTCCAAAGGGCTGATTTGATCACTAAACTGCTGTGACTCCATTCCCTTCCTCACCAGGCCCCATGCAGCCTTCCCCCTCTCCTCTTCCCCACTCTGACGCTACAGACTGAAAAGAGTTCACGGGTTCTTTGAAGTGGCATCTGAGCCATCTTTATTGTGAGCTCTGTCTCCAACGCATGTTTGTCCACACCGGTGTGTCCACGTCAAACCCAGAGTTCCCGGAGGCGAGGGGCCGCTGTGGCATACACTCCCCATGCAATGCCTCGCTTCCAGAGGAGAAGCCAGGCCAGGACTGGGCCCCTTCCTACCTTAATTCTGTCCTTTTCTGGGCTTTCCCCCCAAGAGGCAGAAACTGGGCGTAAGATTCGTGAGTGGGGATGTCAGATCAGGGGTAGGAGGCCAAAGAGATGGAAGAGGGAAGGAAAAATATGACAGGCATATCCCAGAGGGACACAAGCAGCTGGGGTGGGGGTGGGGGTGGGGGTCAGAGGGGCGGGTGGTAGCCAATGGGCGGGGGCTGGGCACAGGAAGGTGTGCATCTTGGGGCAGTTGTTTAGATGGGTTTCTGGGTAGCAAGGAGAGTAGAGGGTTGGGGTTACCCTCATCAGAAAGACTGGCTGAGCCAGGCACAAGGTTCTCCGCAGTGAGCATGTGTGAGTGTGTGCGGGTGTGAATGTGTGTGTGTGTGCGCGCGCGAAGGAGGAAGCCGTGTGGTGGCGTCTGGGGAAGCTCTGGGACTTCCCTGACCCCCGCTTCTCCTAGTGCCTCTGCCGCAGCCTGTCCGGTGTCAGTGCTTGAGGATCACGTAGTCCACGTTTTCCAGTGCCTGAGGCCGCTCCCCAACCCCAAACCGAATCAGCTCCGAGTAATGAATCCCCTCATCCTCCGGAAAATCTGGAACCACGTTCTCATAGTCGTCCTGAGAAAGCCGTGTGGTGGTCAGCCTGGCCCTGCTGCCCCCAGCATCCCACCGCTGCTTTCCTCCGAATGCTCTCCTTCATTCCACCCAGGGGTCCGAAAGCCCAGGCGTCCTGGTGTTCGGAAACGGGCTGTGGCCGGCATCCAGGTGCCTGCCTGGCTCTCACCAGCTCTTCCAGAGCAACTGTCTCCAACACCCAACCTCTGCCATCACGGATGTCTACCTCAGTCCTTCCAAGTGGGACCCACTGCCAAGGCCAGGCCCGTCCCCAGCCTTCCACAGCCCCACCCTCCTTACCGCTTGCCGCTTCTGCAACACTGAATAAATGACCGAGTCATTGCGGTCTGGGGCAGGTCTCTGGATCTCTGAGGTCCCTGCATCTCTGAGAGAGAGGGCAGATGGACAACCACAAATGAAGCATTTCTCATGAACTTTTCTGTCTC